CACGATATTTTTTTAAAAGGATTTTTAAACATTCAAAACACTTAGTTTTCAATATTTAAAACTAGAGAAACGAAATAAAGTTTTTTTTAGAAATTTGAGTGATAAAAAAACCTTATAAAAATAATCTTAAACAGTATTAACTAGGCTCGGGGTTTCTTTCCTACATTATTAAACACACGATATACACTAGTATGATAAAAATAGAGTTAACGTTTTGATATGACGTAAACCCATTAAACTTCACCAACCCAAACTAATAATGTAACACAACATACTTCACTGTTCACTAGCACAACTTGCCTTGTTTGCAAAACAAACAAGACGTAACTCATGAGTTTAAAAACATTATCGATTTATAAAGTTATTAAGTTGGGTTTTGTGTGGCAAGCGTAGAGTGGACTTAAGTGTTGAATATGCAGACAACCTACATGCTAAGCTATAAAGTAGAGTTTGCTTATAAAGAAAAATGTGTTTATTCTGTATCTGTGTCAGAACGTTTTTAATTTAAGTCCGCAATGTTGCTGACGTATTTAGCGTAAACATAACCAAACTAAAATAATGCCATTTTCTTACAGTATATATATGCAAGTAGACGCAACAGGTAAAAATATTTAATATGCTATTTTAGGACTTTTTTAAGACTTTTGTTTACTTATTTCGTTTTACTTAATCTAATCTAAGTTAACCTAGCCAATATACAATATATTTTAACATTTTATAGTAAATAGTTTTATTTAGCAAATATATTTTATTTTATACTTGACACTCTTGTGGACAATCTATACTTTGCATAAATGTTATTTTACCATAAAATTTAATAAATTAATTTATTTCCCGTATAAAAAAAAACAAAAAACACAGTGTATCATAATAACTGTTGAGACATTCAAACTGGTCACTTTTAGCGAATTTCCCATATAGGGAATAAGCTATTACCGTAGTACTCATGGTAAGACCTGGACCCGGGACTGATTTTTTTTTCGTTTTGAGGTCCCTAGAGGCCAAAAATAGCATCCGTTCAAATTCATATATATATATTTATATATATATTTATATATATATATATGTGTGTGTGTCCGTTAGCGCGATAACTCGAGAAAAATAGAAGATTCAGTCAGGCAAATGGAAATTCGCTTAGTCTGCAGGTTTGCTGCGGCGGGGGTATTTTCAAATAGTGTGACCAGTTACAAAGTAAAACACATTTTAGAAGAAACAATTGTAAAGTTTCTGTTCATCCAGGGCATAGTTTGGATCTTGGTAAATATTTTACAGTTCATTTAAACTCGATAAACACTTTAATAATGTTATGAGGTTCTTTTATGAAGGACAATGTTTACGTGGTAATCAGCTGGCGGATGGAACCCTCTTAACCAAATAAAACTCAACCAATGTAGATTATTAATCGATATTAGTTTGCAAGGAATTCAATGTCAGTGTGCTGCATGCAGCTTTTGTCACTAGCTTTCAGGTACATTTATATATAATTTTAAACACATTGTATATAATTAATTAAGTTGCACAGTTTCTACTTCGAAAAATAAGTTTGAACATTTACAAGCTAAACTTTCATATTGTCATCAGCCACGAGCTCAGGCAAAACTTTCTTTGTTGGTGCAAAGTCGAAGTCAAACACCAAGTTAGGTGTTCATGAGTTTTGTTCTAACCACGGGGATTCATTAACTTTGAAGTGAGACAGGTCTGCAATAAAGTCCTTGATTCCAAACGATATTACATAATCCATAAAACACGGTAAAAAATATTTTTGTCTGAATAAAATGTTTTTCCGCTACGAGTTTTGAGGCTAAGAATTTGTGTAAATCTTAACAAAAGTTATTAAATATAGTTTTAAAAAAGTACAATACTATTAAAATATTATTAAACTAATAGATGAGTGAACGAAGTGAACGAATCTATGTATCGTGTATAGCGGAGTCGGAGAAAAGTTGTCCGCTTGTCTGTGAGTCCGTGAGTCCGTGAGTGTGTTCGCGTAAAATCTCAAGAACCGTTGCACTTATAGCGTTCAAATTTTGCACACATAATTATGACACCAGTGGGAATACCCCATTAAAATTCTAGACGATTCCGCTCAGTAGTAATTATAAAACCCTAAAAAAACATTTTTAAATTCGTCCCATAAGAATAACATTAGAAGCTACCTTCTTCTTCTTTTTATTTGTTTACGTTTTGCGACCAACAATTTTGTCGTCTACTTAAGACAGAGAGAACGACTAACTAAGCTCTTTCATGGAGTAAAGAGTTTGACGTTTATGAATATATATGACATCATAATTTCACAACTTTCAGAATAATAAATTGAACTTTACTAAATTAGTCGGCAGTTATACAGTTTTATGTTCAGGTCAATTCACATTTGCACTACAAATGTATATATTTAGTACTAAGCAGCTATTTACTTAATTCAATTTAATGTTGGCATTTACTATTAAATAGTCAAAGCTGTTAGTCCATTTTTATACTAAAATGCTATGCGAAGGGGGGAAACGGGTCCACGACGTAGGAAGTGGTGAAGGAAGTAGTCGAGGTGAATAGTCTGGAGTGTGGGAACCCTTTGTGACAGTTATATTAATGTACCTACAAAACTAAAATACTATGGGAAGGGAGGGAAACAGGTCCACGACGAAGGAAGTGATAAAGAAAGTAGTCAAGGCGAGGGTCCGGAGTATGGGAAGCCTTTGTGACAGTTAAAATAATGTATCTGGAATTCTCAAAATGCCATAGGAAAGGGTGGAAACAGGTCCACGAAGAAGTGGTGAATGAAGTAGTCGAGGTGAACAGTCTGGAGTGTGGGAACCCTTTGTGACAGTTATATTAAAGTACCTACAATACTAAAATACTATGGGAAGGGAGGGGAACAGGTCCAAGACGAAGGAAGTTATAAAGGAAGTCGTCAAGGCGAGGGTCCGGAGTATGGGAAGCCTTTGTGACAGTTAAAATAATTTATCTGGAATTCTCAAAATGCCATAGGAAGGGATGGAAACAGGTCCACGACGATGGAAGTGGTAAAGGAAGTAGTCAAGGCGAGCAGCCCGGAGTGTGGGAACCCTTTGTTACAGTTAGAATAATGTATCTGCAATTCTGAAATGCTACGAGAAGGGAGGAAAACAGGTCTACGACGAAGGAAGTGGTGAATGAAATGAAGTGTTAAAGGTGAGCAGATTGGAGTGTGGGAACCGTTATTGGCAGTTAGATTAATATATTTGAAATACTAAAATGCGATGGAAAGGGAGGGAAACAGGTCCACGACGTAGGAAGTGGTGAAGGAAGTAGTCAAGGCTAGCAGTCCGGAGTGTCGGAAACCTTTGTGACTGTTAGATTAATGTACCTGCAATACTAAAATGCTATGGGAAGGGAGGGAAACAGGTCCATGACGTAGGAAGTGATAAAAGAAGTAGTCAAGGCAAGCAGTGTGGAGTGTGGGAACCGTTGGTGGCAGTTAGATTAATGCAACTGCAATACTAAAAAGCTCTTGAAAGGGAGGAAACCGGTCCACGTCATAGGAAGTGGGGAAGGAAGTGGTAAAGGCGAGAAGTTCTGAGTGTGGGAACAGTTTGTGGCAGTTAGATTAATGTACATGCACTACTAAAATGCTGAGGGAAGGGTGGGAAACAGGTCCACGACGTAGGTAGTGGCGATGGAAGTGGTAAAGGCAAGCAGTTCGGAGTGTGTGAACCGTTTATGGCATTTAGATTCATTAGTTAGATAAACATATATTGGATTATTAATCATTTTTAGGTGATATAATAGCGCTATCGTTAGTATGTGTTATATATCATCATTATAAGCCATACGATATTTTTAAGAAGACTCTTTTACACCGTGCTGTCGCAATTAGGTTAAGTTAGATTCGTTCAGTTTGTTTTAGTTTTGTTTATGATAGGCCTCATAACAAATAAGGAAATAGGCTTCTTTTAATCAAAAGACGTTTTGTACAGGAAAATGGATTTACCTCCTATCGATAACTGTTGGAAATTCATTACGTATATTACCAATGACTTTGGTTAGGCAATGGACGAGAAGTTAGGATTGTGTTGACTGAGATTTGGTTTTTGCCTATACAAATAACATTGTGTTCACCAGTGACACCGGTAAGTAGGCTAGGTGTGGGTGGACTCTTTCATTACTGCGCTCATGTTCACTCATCCCATTACGCGCAGAATAAGCGTACTACTAGTAATATTAACAGTTATAGATTTTTTTATCATTGTCTCATAAAGTATTAGATTATTAAACTGTATATCAATTTAGAATTTGATGAACATTTTCACTGCTTAAAAACTGATAAAAGTAATGGCGAAGTAAATATATAGACTAAAATCTAATATTTGTAACTTTTAGATGATATTATTGTCGTATTAGATTACTGCATCGATTATTCAAAGAATGTTCTAAACGTGTTATAATTACCTAAATGTAATGTATCACCAGTTTCATCCTTTATTTTAGAAACAACAAAATATGCTAGAGTTCAAGGAAACTCAAATAATTTCCATCCAAACAGTGTTATTTTTGAAGAGTCCTCTTAGTACACGTAAACACATGTAATCCTAAATACACGTAAAGTACATGTATGTTTGAGTAAACACAGTATTTCCTCTAAAATCTGAGTATTCATAATTTTGTTCTCCATTTCGAAACCAAGAAAAACCTACGTAGTCCACGAATATTTATAAATTAGCTGTACAGTATGTAATATCATCCAAAAACTGGAAGTGTAAAGAAATACAAATAACCAACAGGTTTCTACCATCAATACTTTGATGAAAAAAACTTTCTACACAGAAATCACACTGTAACGTATCAAATACGCAGTAATCCCAGCGTTTTTGTATCAACCTCCCACTCTTTTCTCACGCAGTTTTACATAAGACGTATCAATATCGACGATTGTATCAGTTACACCAAGGAGTTGGTCAGTGTGGCAGTGCTATTCCACCACGTAGCAAGCGTATTACTAGTACTTTACAATATCGATATTTTTACCGATAATATCGAAGTGGTTACCGACTAGTAACAGTGCGTGTGCGCCAAATTGGATCCATTACCGTGTAATAGACTAACGGGTGTCTCTTGTCCGTCAATTGCGTTGATGGGTCCTAATGACCACGGCGCGGGAGGCGCTGGTGGCGTGTGCGTGGTGGTGCGTGCGGCGACGCCCGGGCGCGGTAGCGGGCGTAGCCCCCTAGCACGGACCCGAGCAGGAGTCGCGGCGCGGGCGGCCCCTAGACCGGTCATGGCGGGGGCTCAGAAAGGCATGGAGCGCTGGATAGGCCGAGTAGCGCTGGTCACCGGAGCGAGCTCTGGTATTGGAGCGGCAGTCGCCCGCGACCTGGTGTCTCACGGACTGACCGTGGTCGGACTGGCCAGGAGGAAGCACAGGGTCAAGGTAGGTAAAGAAGTTTGACATGTCAGGATGAAAGTTTTTTGTTTGGTCAAGTAATTATGACTGACAATGTTGGTAGGGGTTGAGACATATTTGGACATAAAAAATAATTTACCGTTTAGGAGCTTAACTGCAAATTACCAAAATCTAAATATCACTTCAACAGTAAGCACTGTAAAATTTTGTGTACACAGCTACAAAACAAGCACTGAATATTGTAATAGATCTTTGGATACATATAAAACATTTAAAAATTATGCACCCTGTTGGTAATCCTTGTAACTTTAATGCTATTGAACATCATAGAACAGAACCAACTTGTTTAATTGAAACAGCTGTTAAGATTCAATAATTCCATTTCTCATAAGGTTAACATGGGAAACTCCAGAGCCACTGGGGCGGAGCCCGAAAAGATTTTTGAAATAAGAATATGCCTATATGTTAATCGGGAATGTGAGCTATCATCATGCCAAATTTCAGCCCAATCCGACCAGTATTTTTCGAGTTTACTTTTCCCATACACACATACACACATACAGCAACCACCTCTTTTTTATAATAGTATAGATTGTTCAATATTAAATAATAGCATATTTCTTCTCTTTAAATGACCTAATTCACATTCAAACACATGGATCACTAACATGGCCTTTAAATGGATAAAACAAATTTTGCCTCGTCATTCACTAACCATAGTATCCTTTGGATAACTCAACTTATGAAACATTGAAAATTAATTGTTCAATATTTAATAATAGTTTTTTTTTTCTATTTTTAATTGTCTAAATAAAACATTCAATGGATCACAAACATGATCTTAACTGGAAAAATAAATTTTGTTTTTGAAAAAAATATTTGTTTGCCTTGTTACTGATTTACTAACCTTGGGACAACTAAACTTATTCTCACTACCTGTTACTAAACAATGGTATTTTGTTAGGTATTAATAAGTTTTGAAATTAATAATATGTAGTATAATTTAGCCTCAAAATGTTTTGGTGCGATTATGACATGTAAGGGGTAATTGTACTTTGGAACATTTGTAGCAGTAAAGACCTGTAATATACAGATGAACATATCTGCAAGAAAACAATCATAAAATAAAATATAGTTTCACTATGAAAAGTGATTCAGTTACTGTAATATTAAACTTGTGTCGAGTAGTTTTTATATCTGCAATACGTAATAAAAGAAAATGAATAACTAATAGTACATTAGTTTTTAATTGTGGAAAATATATAGAGCATACATATTAAAAACATTGAAATGAAGAGTGAGTAGGAGAAACTAATGAAGTAAAAGACTGTTTAACGGAAGGGAACTATTTAATTACTTTATGGAAACATAACTTCGTTAGGATGCATTTTGAGCTGGCTACTAACTCAATTTATTTATCAAGAATTATTTTTCATATGATTATCATTTACGGAAAGTAAAACTAATGATAAAAAGTCATTTAGATTATCATTTCAAATTCATTAATAAATTAGTGAAACGACTACCCTTTACTGTAGTTTGTTATTACGATATTTTTCGAAAGTCCGTGTTGTTGTTATATTTTGTTTCCTGTATTAAGCATTCACAAAAATAAAGGTTATACAATAAAAACAACGTTGTGTGTGCAAGCCACAAGAATAAACTTCACAATACTAATGTACCTACTATAACTTTATACAAAAGGCTTGACGCAAAGCAAAATGCTGTGATTTAGGATGCTTTAAACTTAGCTTTATAATCTAGGCAGGAAATCGTTGAAATATCCATGGGATTTTAATAAAATCTTTTCCGCTAATCCTGACAAAAGACAGCAGCTTTTGAATGCATTGAAATGTGACCTGCGCCTCCCTTTAAAAACCGAAGAGAAAAATACATCGGAAAATTCAGGAAATGACTATCTTGATAAATAAGGTCTGCCGCAGCGTCCGGGAATGTTCTGGTAGTCTTGATTAAACGTTAAAAGTAATTGTGTGTCACAAATTTAACAATTTGTACTTAATTTATATAAATAAAATGTAATTTTATCAGTTAATACTATTGGCCAATACAAATGTTTTGTCAATCTGGCTGAATAAATGCATTTGACGTTGAATTTGACCTTACGTTACTTACGAAATAAAGGACGGATCGTATTTATGACGATGGCGGACAGGGAACTCATCCCGAATTTGCATTTATCTTAAATACACACACAAAAATTGTTTCAAAGGATTAATTAAGTTCATAATTAATACTTTTGATTTTATTAAATATTTTTTCACAGAAAAAAGAAGTCCTTATAAACCGTTGCAGTAACAGGTGAAGGTCCTTATTTCACGCTAGAGATCCTGCTCGTGTCCTCTACAGATGAAACTTAGTTGAGAGGTTTAAAGTACCACAGCCCCGGGCACGTCACATGCAAGGCTGCGTTTAGTGTTAACCTTTCACAACTCTCCGAGTTGTAATCCAAACATTTACACAGCTTGGATATTCTTTTGTACACTCTGTTTAGTTGTTTTGTGTCGTTTGATAGTTGCAGATTTTTGCAAACTCGTGTGTGTTTTTCGTTACCGGTATTTTTCCATCAAACATATTGGAACAGTCCAGGCCTTATTATTGTTACCCTCTAATGTCAACCCTTATCATTTTATTAGATAGCATTATTCATTTATAGCAAATCGACGAATACTTGGGATCAAAAAAGCAGCCTTCAATTTTGAAGGTATGAACTATAACCATCCAGTCACTCAGATAGAAAAACTATTGTTTATATATTTTCAGGCATGGGTTTGTATTTAAATTTTTTTATGTAACTTAAAATGTATGTGTTTAAAGAATGGTGACTCGGTATCATAGGGTGGGCATGATTTACTTCTGAGCCACTCTAAACAACAATGTAGTATAAAAGTATTATTTCCACGCCATTGTCTGTTTTGTTTAAGGGCATTGAGCTCATAGCATCGAACAAGCTGTCCTAATATGGATTTATACATAATGGTTTGGGGCATAACACTTCGGTCAGCCAGAAAAACTAATGTAACAAATATTATTTTCCTACATTAACCCGACAAAGTAGGCTTCCTTGCACTGATTATAGTACGGAAAGCCATACTTTTGCGCACAGTTTTTACTTTGGTGCACACCAGTATTCCAACCAAACAACACAAAACAGCGTGCTTTTATTATACACGTAATTCGTGTACGCTTGAAAATAAAATGGCTGCACTAAGGATATTACGACTTTGATCAGCTGGTGCAGCGTTTCTCATGTCGTTCAATGTTTGGATTTAAGCTAACCTAAAAACGTGTTTTACAATGTTTGAAAGACTATATGATTTATAGTAACTGTAGGGAAAATATAATGTGTAACACGAGTGCAAACCGACTTTGCTGCACTCGAGAAACTTCCCACACTCACCTACGGCTCGTGCGTAAACATTTCTCTCCTGTGCAGCAAAGTGCCACTTCACCCACTAATAACACAAATAATTACTGTAGCAACAGTATGTGTTTACTATTCACGTCAGGCATTATTGTTAATTAAAATATTTTTTTGTGCTGATATTGAAAACGTTCGAAAGTGGTTATGATGCTGTGTGCGCGGTGAAAAGCAAACCATTGACTGACATCTCATTCATTTTTCAGCTGTAGCTAGTTTTAAATCACATAATCACAAAGTTGAATTTGTCTAGCACAAATTTTTTTAACTCTATTTCCTAGTTTCAGAGTTACCTCTCTTTATGTTTTTTTTATTTATTTATTTTTTTTTATTAAGAGAGTTGATGAGTAGTTACGAGATACGATATATAATACTTTGCCCTTTCAGATTGGCTATTTAAGATATAATGCATAAAAAAATTGTATCAGCAATATTACACATACTTTCTCCCATTAGCTTGTCAACCACCCTTATCATGAGCAAGCAGTGTGAGTAGTTATGCTATTTTATGGGGAAAATCACAAAAGTTGCAATAAATTTTAACCGTAATTATTACAGTAATGTCGTTTCTAATATTTTTTAGAGTTAAAAGGAGTATGACTTACTAAATTGTAATAAAGTTTTTGCCAATAATTTAAAAATACAATTCTCCCGTATTTTATGGGGAAATTATCATTAAATAATATCATTTCAAAAACACCTGGAACTACTCTAAGGTATTTGAGTAGTACCTTTGACTATTAGTACCTACATACACAATTTAATTCCTTCAAAAGTCGGACCACAGGTGTGGTCCGTAGCTTTGTACACAATACTTACACTCACACAAATACACACACACATTCACATAAAAAAGAAAAAATTCATATTCACCTTAAAAATGGATATATCTGCTCAAAACTCTAACTTTAAAGCTTTAAAGGAAACATTACTTTCTCTATGTACTGAAAATAGGGGAGAAAGTAAAAAACAAACAAATCGGTATTTTACAGCTACTCCTCTCTACAGCTTTATCTCAGTGGTTCCTTTAAACTTGATTTTATAACTGAAAAAATCTATATAATGTGAATGTAATGTTTGCTGGACTGTAGTTTATTTGTGGTCAAAGGTCAAATTCAAGAAAATGTAATTCTTAAAACGTGTGAATGGTGTGAACGTGTAAAGGTGTGAAGGAACTTTTTCGTATATACATTTTACTAAAAAAACTATCACGTTTATCCACGATGGATACATTATTGGTGAAAGGTTTTCTAACAACTCAAAACAGAAGTTTTTCTGTAATATCGTAGATAAACAAAAAACAATTCAACATTAAACGTATACAAAGCAATGGAGTACATTACAAATTCCAAAACTGTATGCGAAGAAGTTTTGCAAGAATCCAACTCATATCTTATGAGATCACATCCCAGTAACTACATTTGTACATTGTTCTGCATGTTGTCTACAATACATATGTTACAACTAATATTTTTAAAATGTATAAATTAAAGAGTTTTCACATATAATTAATTTTATATTTCAATCACCATTAAAAACCATCATAACATTTGGTTGTAATCTACATATTAATAGGCAAGCATGTTTCTTTAAAACCTTTTTTTCACGGTTTGTGTGCATCACATGGTAAATCTACGCATAGTGTTAGAAAGATATTTGCCTGTAGATGTGCAGAATCCCTTTATAAATTAAAATAGTCTGAAAAGCAAGCACAAAAATTAATTTAAAAAGAAATTAACATTGGCCTTATGGGTTGCTATGCTGGTGATGAAATGACATCGAAATATAAACACAAAATCAAAACAAATGAAAGTAATTCTAATCACATGTTTTATTTACAGCATGGGGTGAAAATAGAGAGGTCTTTTGTACATTACATATTTTTGGTAAAGTTTTCGGCCATTGGACGACCTCTAGTATTATTTAATTTAAACTGCCATTGTAAAAATTGCTAAAACTATCCAGACGATGAATTTGCAACCTTCTCGTTATAAAACACGATACTTGTACACAAACAGTCATTAAGACGGTATTCAGGATGTCGTTAAAACGTCCGGTAGTTGACAGAACGGTGGTTAAAGAGGGGGTAAAGTTGATAACAACCCCCCACTGGGGGGGGGGGGAATAAAGCTTGGAGAAGCTTGTCTTTGATCACAGAGTCATCAGAGTTGGAGAGGTTTCCTGAGGCGTTAGCATTACCCGTGAGTCGACATCGGTAGCGAAAACATGAATCGTAATACGATATCTGCTAATGTCTCCACCTGTTACAATGTTAATTGGATTTTATCTGAAAGGGCTTTGATCTCGAGGATACAGCACAAAGATAAAGTTAATTGGTAGTTAAGTATTCTTTGGCTTTATAAAACAAATATTGAATATACACCTCAGTGTTTTTTTTTTCAAAACTTAATTAAACATGTACGGTAAAAAGTAAATATATTACAGGTCACTGAGTAATTTCTGCAGGAAGTTATCTATAGGTTATCATTAGGACCCTGACTTATAGATACATCATTTACTGTCTGTCTTTCCTCGATTACAGTACAAACTTACAACTAAACTAGAGCTGTATTGAATAGTTCATATTTAATATCTATGAAAGTTTTTAAATAAAATTCCATATAAAAACTTTGTAGATATTAGTAAATAATGTACAATTTTTAAAATTTAATCCATTTAAACTCCAACCCTTTGGTATCAAACTCAAATAAATGTTAGTTGAGAAATGGGAGAAAAACGAACGTTATGAATTGATTTTGAAAAACTATTTACACCATACTACACTGTTTTGACGAATTTCCAACGCAAGTATTTAGTCCAGAAAATAGCTGTTTGCCGCCAGCCTAATCAAATGGGGTTTCTTTGCGTACTACAGTACTGTAATGAGTTTTACCGGACACCAATCAGCTGATTATACTATATTTGGGTGGCAATGAGTGGTTGTAAACAAAGACATAACTTCTCGTTTAGACGTTATGACTAGTGATGGTTAGTCCTTTAGTCCTTTAGGATGTGGTAATAAATAAGGATTTGTACAGATTTAGTAGTATGGCGTAAACTATCGTACGTAACTCGTCCAAAATTTGTTTACCGGACTCGTATGGCAACCGGTTAACACTTATTTTCAGGACTAGTAACGTAATATACTATATCACTAAAAAATACATTTTTTATACACCTAACAACATAGCGTTTATTGATAGTAGCTTTTATAAAACATGTCCTTATAAAAAATACATTTCAGAAATAAATTATGTTAAAGTTATGGAATGCACAAATTCCCTTTATTAGCGAAAGTTCATGAAACACACTAACCAACAAGATTACGAATTTGGTTTTATTATACCAACAAGTTTAGTCTGGTATTCTTTATGTACGTAACATAAATTTAAACTTCCACTAATGAAGAGTAGCTAGGTATTCTCTAAAGGACCAACAATACAATACAAAAACATTATTCCAAATAATAAAAATTTCTGACTTTGCCATAAGGGAATATGTACAAAACTAATCGGACCATATTACACTGCTTGCAGCTATTACAATTGTCTGGGTAGCCGAGTGGTTATCGTGCTTGCCTTCAAATCTAAAAGTCGTCTGTTCAATTACAAGTGAAATCGTAACCAGACTCATAAGCATTTTTCTATTGGGATATAAGTTAATGACGCTATGAATTAATAAGGTCGACGTTAGATAACAAGACCAGGGTTAGGACCACTCCCTCTCAAAACGTTAAAAATACCATTGGCGTTGTAAACACGAAAAATCTCTTCAAAGCATTTTCGTTCGGTCTAATCCATTTCCTCAAACTTTGAGGTGTTTTTTGCAACAAACAACATAAAATGAAGACTCAAAAATGAACTCAGAAATGACTCAGATATTACTTTCCGGTCAAGAGCTGTGGACCGAACTATCAAGGTTGTATGCAGAAGGTCGTGCACGCCCTCTATTGTAGTGGGTGTTCAGATGTCAACTATGATTAACTAGAAGCACCTTAGAACACAATCATCCGCTAAGAATAGCCTATCAGATACCTGTTATCTATAATAGTGTAAACGGATATGAAAATCATCGATCCTTGGTTTCAGCGCGTTGGCTAAGTTATATTTATAATAACAGAAATACGTAACAAACATTTCCCAGGATCAGTACTGTCATTTTTTTATCAAAACATGTTATTATGAATGTTGTAACAACGTGTGCTGAAATTTACTAAAGGTTCATCCTCAATAAATAATATTTTAGTAAATGAACCTTTCATTATACAATGAGAAACGTCAGTACTTTAGACAAACTTTTGAAAGATTGTAATTAACTTATATAATAACCCGTGTGTTCGATTTTAAAACCTTAAAAATATAAAATCTACGTCTACTAATACGTGTAATAATATATTTACACTTATACTGGTGACTTACAAGACGGTATATACATATACAAAGATGTTGATCGAAGTGTTATGGAACGTATTTTTTTTATTTTCAGGTAATTTAATAACACGTAAAACGCTGATCAAGAAGTTATCTAGACTCTGGTATGAACTAAAATAGTTATTTTTTGTTCAATTACGTTTTAGTACTAAGTATAACAACATTAATAAAATGTATTTAATTTAAAATTAATTTATAGCCAAACGTGTAAGTTAGTTAATAATTTTGAAAACTATGTAATAGCTGTTATGATGTATCTGGATTTTAAAATAATCAACCAATAGCTTTTAGCATTCACAATAAAACAAAGAATAATGCTAGGCCAACAAAAAAGTAAACCTAACACGGTAATTTGAAACTCGAGAAAGTAAATTCAATACTAAAACCAATTACGATGAAACTCATTGAGCGTAAAATTCACTGAGTAATTGGCCCAAAAGACTTCTTTTATTGCGGAAATGAAGGAAAACGACCTCACGGACAATTGGTCAAAACGTGGTTTATTAGATAAGGAATCTTAATTGGACAACTACACAACTACCATCGATAACATTGTTGTGAGTGTTTTTAAGTGGCGACTCCCTTGTAAGTGATCAGTCACTTAGAGGGCCATTCATCAAGCGCACTGCCATACGAGGTGTTGCACAGTAGAAGACGAATTAAAACGGATCATTTCCTTTTGAATACAATGATTTCAGCAAATTGGAACGAGACAATTGCTAATATTTGTTGCACTTTTGGAGCTTGTGTTTTGTTCTTAGAAAGAATACAAAATAAATTAAGCTTCTTAATCAGCATCGTACGTGTTATAAAATTACCAGAAATTACAAAAATACTTCAAATAAAATATTATGTTAAATAAATTATGTGTAAATATATTTGATAAAATAAAATACAAGTATTATGTGTAAAATAAAAGTAGTTTATTATGTGTATAAGATAAAAGTTTTGTAATAATACAAATGTTAAACGGCAACCTAAACAGTTTCAAGCTTATTTAAAGCTTAAAAAAGAGCTTTGTATCTTAAGTACGCTGGCTCAATAAAGACAGTATTTATACCAGTTTATTGAACGTAAAGTAGTGTAACTCTTCTTCATCATGCATGTTTAGCTTTGTCGATAAACTTTATTACCTGATTGCAGTAAATAAACTTAAATTTGAAGTTATGAGTACAATTGACTGATGATTGATTAGTCTAATAAGAACGATAGCTTCTTATTACTCGTATTTTTTATATGTGTCAGCTACTTGACGTTTAAATAGTTTCTTGACGATTTTAAGTAGCTAACTTTTAGGTTATGGCTCTAATTTGAAAACTTACTGTCAATCAGAAGATTTCTGTTGGGTATTGGGCCAATCCCCTAACCAATAGTTAAGTGTAGGGCCACACAAGTCAAAGGCGTTCACCAAATTCTAAACTTATCAAATTGTAACGATTTCAACTATTTCCTTCTTCACCCTATCATTGAGATACAACACAGATGGTTTTTTAGCATTTAATTTATTTTCCAGGAGATCGCAGAGGAGCTGATAGAATGCAGAGGCAAGTTGTACGCGGTAAAAGCAGACATCAGCAAAGAGGAAGACATCGTGCACGCATTTATCTGGGTGGAGAAGACTCTAGGAGGCGTTGACATCCTAATCAACAGCGCCAGCGTTACAGCCAGTGTGCCCATTGTAGGTTAGTAAATATAATAAATGGGTAAAATCGACTTAAGAGGATTGAAAAAGCTTTTTATGTTATTATGAATAATAAAAATGTGAACATCTGTCTTTAAAACTCCAAAACACTAATGTCCTGATGAAGGACGGCCAGACTCAAAGATTTGAAGTCCCGAACTCCTTGTGAAACTGTGTGTTTTAAGGCTCAAATGCTACACCAGTCCATAAATATGAAAAAAGGTTTAAGAGAATAATCAAACACTGTTAATTGACAAAAAAGTTACAAACACAAAACAAATTTAACTGGCACAAAGGTAGTAGACACTGGTAGTTTATTTAATCGAGAAGATGTGAAAATAATTTTCCAATCGTTTAACATAAATATTTATGCTATCTTTATTTATTACTTTTTAAAGAAGTGTGCTATTCTTCACCACAAAAGTTGAGTTTGCCAATAAATTTAATTATTAAACTTAAAATAATGGACAGCTATAGTTATTTGTGTAACCACAGCTCGTGCGTAAACATTACTCTCGAGTACAGTAAAGACAGTTTGCATTCGTGTTACACAATAAATTTTTTCTACAGTTACTATAAATCATATAAATAATTAGTCTTTCAACCACTGTACGACACGTTTTTAGGTTAGGTTATATCAAAACATTGAACGACATGGGAATGATCGTAATATATTTAAGCGTTGCCAACTTATTTCCATGCGTACACGGATTACGTGCATAGTAAAAGCACGCTGTTTTGTGTTGTTTGGTGGGAATACTAGTGTGTGCCAAAGTAAGGCTCTCCGTACTATAAGGAAGCCCACTTTGTGGGTATGCTGTCCTTCACCACTAAAGCTAAGTTTGCCACTAAATTCAAGTATCAAACTTAAAGGCATAGCAAAATCTTGTTATTAAATAATAAGCAGCTAAATAAGTTGCACCAAACAATTAATACTATGAATCAATTTGATTGCAATAAAAACAAATTGATAAGTATTAATCTCAGAAAGAAATCACGAGTGCAGTTTATTCCCAATAGAAATTGAAAATATACGAGATTTTAAAAGTTACTATGCCTAGAATTGTTTTGCAGACGGAAAGTCAGACGAATGGAAGAGGATCTTCGACGTGAACGTGTACGGCCCAAGCATATGTGCCAGGGAGGCTGTCAAGTCCATGAAGGGCCGCGGGGTGGACGACGGCTACATCATCAATATAAACACGTAGGTAACTGGTTCCACGGCCTGCAGAGGTGTAATCATTTGTGTTTGAAGTTCAAATATATTTGTGAATTCAATTGCAAAAAGTGCTTCACATGAAGAAACAATATCGTTAATGTATCGTTTTATAGAAATTTTAGGTAGGTCTATAGAGAAATCATCTACCTATAGTACGCTTGTTTTTCGTCATTTTACAGAAAAACAGCCGTTGCGGGTCATCGATCTCTGTTATTATCTATGTTGCGGGTATAACATAGGTTTGGTTAGGTCAGGAATAGGTAAAATTCCTAAAACTAAACATCCTAACCTAACCTAACCTAATATACTAATTATTGGTAGTGAATTAACGGAAAATGTCTGAGATGTCTACCTACTTCAGTATTCAATGGCTAAACGAATCTTTGCTTAAAATAGGGAATCGTTTTTCAGATTGCCCCCCAGTCCAGGCGGAGCTCGAGACAGCATCCTGAAAGCCTCCAAGTTGGCGCTAACAGTTCTCACAGACGGCCTGAGGGCGGAGTTTACAGAGGCCAAGTCTAGGATCAAAGTTACGGTAAATCTATTGTCTTGAAAACACCGAGGTTCGTATTACATAACTTAGTTACCTGACACAATGGGCAATCAAGTATTACGTAATGTAGTCCCTGGGGTAAATGACTAACAGTCTAATGAATGGAAGGGTTCGGACGATTTTGCCTTTCATACAATCGGCTTTCATTAGCTGTATGGAAAGAAGCTTTACATTATGTTGTCATTATTATTGCATTCTTTGCAATAATTTCCTAATTGGTTGTTTATGTCTTCCCAAATATGATGAAATGCAATACACTTTGATTAAAGAATATGTGTCAGATCATGTTAACAATCAATCAGAAATACTGACTCATATTAGGCCTATTAGAAAATGACCGCTCATTAGGAAAAACGGAGGACTTTTGGATGGTTACTAATAAACGTTTAATAGAGATAAGATGACAAACAAGCAAATTAATCTGGAATTTAGTGTTCCTGAGGAAATTTCCTTGCCAGAGCTTCAATTAACCAATATCATTCAAGTAAGGAAACTAAATGATTGTTGTAATTCGGATAGTGTGCCTGATATCGATCGAGTTCGCTTGCATAATACAACCTATATACCGTTTCATATGTGAATATTATACTATTTACCGTTTCATATGTGAAGTTAACATAGTCAATACATATTTTAAATGTTAATATGGGCATAACATATATCACAGCGCAAAAATACGCGTACTTAAATATTAAACTTAGTAGAACCATAGATAAAACATACTCCCCCAGTAGAACTGTCAATTTGGGGATATCCAACAAATAGAAGCTTTACGACCTTTTGATACCAATTGATCATGGGTGAATTAAGTGGTGAGATCAATTACAGATGAAGTCAGTCAGATGATTACAGTTAGTCGATTTATATACATATTTGAGATTTTACAGTTTGGTATATAGAGTAATTCCACCGTTTACTTGTTCCAGTGCGTCACCCCAGGAGCCATGACAAGTGGGGAGACCAACAAAGGTACTCCGGAGATCCTTCGAAGACAAACTCTCCTAGAGGAGAGGCATGTTGCTGAAATGGTCACATTTATATTGGCCACCCCACCTAACATACAGGTAAACGCCACATTATCACTGTACAGTACAGAAGAGTCTATGTATACAACCAGTATGTTTTATCTATGATACAACTCAAAGCGTTACTTTTTGTAATTTCCTGAAATAGGTTGGTTGTCTGTTTTGATCTTGAATATGTCCGTTCACCTGGACATCAGGCATGTGCTTAAAACGTAAAAATCAATACTCAATCTGGTACATTACAAGATGACTTTAAGAGGTTGAAAGGATGTTGAGGTTAGTTTATTCATACTTCTCAAATCAATTAATTTGTACCTCTCTCTAAGCTGACTGACAAAACCAATGGTGATAAACTGATCTTTAGCATCAAAATTACAATTATTCTAAGTTTAAAATACATAAACTATGCTAATTATATTATCTAAACGTTGAATTAAGAACTTGTATCGCTAAGAATTCTTTTTATTTTAAAATTTAGTAGGAGTCAAAAAGGTACGTTTGAATTAACATAGATTAACAGAAAATTAATGAAAACCTTGTTTGCCTATCAACTTTAACATTAAACTAATAACAACTCATAAGGTCATAATATCACGTAAGGCTTAATTTACAACAAATTCAGATGGTGTCAGGACACTTGCTAAGGTTAGCCGGAACATAATTTCATTTATAAAATACCCCCGCCGCAGCAAACCTGCCGTCTATGCGAATTTCCATTTGCCAGAATTGATTTTCAACTATTAAAATAACATTAATTTTAATGAGTACCTAGGTTAGCTGCTTCAGGGAAACTAGTAAAGTATATGTTTTAGTAAAATATTAATAGCTTAGTACAAAATAAATAAATTTGCCAAGTTTGATCAACATATATCCATAAACAAGCAAACTATATTTTACAAAACTATATTCTCCGTGGGAATTTTAATATGACTTTTGTTATTTTCTCTCTAACTAATAACCGTACAAAAACACTTTGATATACTAAATTATTTGTTTTTTAAAAAGGTCTAGAGAGAAATTGGTAAGTTTAGTGTTTTGAGTGTCAAAATGAGAACAACCAATTTTACCCCAAAATACCCCATTCCCATGGTCCGATCATGCTGGTTCGCGAACTCATCCAAGTTTATCACGCCTTACACCTTCAAACCAAGCTACTTCCCTATAGGGAAATTTGCTAGGTGTAATATAATGTCATAAAAAAAATACAATGTACTGTTGAAAATTGATTCATATTTGTCTCATCTTTTTGTGGTTTATTTCAAATTCTATACTGTGATGACGTAATCAATTCTTTATGCACTTTACCCTTGATGCAGTAGCCATCTCATTTCACATTCATATTGATTGTTTTGCCTTCTGTATTTCACATTGTCTAACACTGTGCCACTATCAGGTGTCCGATTTGACCTTGAAGCCGATAGCCAGTAAGCCAGCCACGTTCCGCCCTCGGCTGTCCAAGTGATCGTGATGACGTCACAGCACGCTTCACTCACTACGTCACAGTTCCTGCCCACCAGTTCCGCGCCTATCAGCTGTTTAGCTCTATCAGCTGTTGTAATATTTATTTAAAATATATAAATAACACCACTTGGCATTTTATTTTCCTCCAATAAGACTCATGGCAAACAATTGTTTGAGTTTGAATGATAATTGTGATCTTCAATTGATTATCTCTTTATGAATCAAAACCTCTTTATTTACTTTTATGTAAAATAATAACTCATGAAAAAGGTCATATTTATGTGAATTAAAGTATAGCCGTTGGTTTAAAGAGTGGAACTAAGAAAAAAAGAAAAAAAGATTTAACTAAAAATGATTTTACAAAATAAAAAAAGTAAATCGTTTCACTGTTGTTTTTTTCGTTTATTGATATTTTGCAGCAGTATGTCAAACAGTTTGTTTCCAACAAAGGTAGTTTTCTTAGTCTAAGTATATTCCTAGAATATTTGTTGGGTTCACTAAATAAGGTATGTACTATTACGCATATATAATTTATATAAATTGATTAACTACTTTGCGACATACCTCTATAATTTACTAAGGTAGTAGCTACTTTGGTAAATAGAATCCTAGAAGACAACAGGTGAAACTGTGTAAAGTGCTGCTGTCAACTTCTTTTTGGGGAGTGAGCTGCTCTACTAGTAGGAAAGAAATTCTAGTAGTAGTGCGGGGCTTCGAAGTCCTGGGTTCAATGCCTGCCAATCGCCAATGGATTTTATCTATGTAATAGTGCCGCAACCCTCTAGGACTAGCCTGAACTATTGACCCCTTTAGGTTTCTTATAATTAATAGTAATCATTTTTCTAGAATAATATGACATTGTGCCCTATTATGAAACTCTCTTAAGGCAGAATATAATGTCGTTTTTTGTTATTTGGAATTCGAACAAATTAATCTCCATTGCTTAGTTAAAAATACATCTTTGTAAAATTTTGCAAATATCTGGTAGGGCTAAAATAAAAATATCACATTTTTGGTAATTAGTATTCAAAAGCCCTTTCAGCATTTAGTTACTTGGTAATAGAGGGAAATTCATTAAATATCCTTGAATTGTATACTAATTTGTATCCTATCCATGTATAAATTTACTTAGTGTCAAGGTTTGCTGCAAAGAGGGAGTATAACAGTAGTTTACGCAAAGATCGCGTAAAGATAGTGTTAACGATACGAGTAGTCATAAGGTACGAGTCTTGGCGAGTGCCTTAAAAACTTCAACGACTGTCGTTAAGACTATTTACGCCAGTTGCGTACACTATCATGACAGTTTTTAAATAACTAACAATCACTACCCATAACCTATAAGAGAGGTTATGTTTTCTTTTATAACCTCTCATTGTGATGCAAAGACTCGGTTGCAGCAAACCACTAATTGCGCCACTAATTAACAATTAAATGGGTCTTAACAGCTGATTGGTTGAAGAGTGAAGCATTACAATTTTACTTCTTTTCTTACAATCCTTGGTTAGGTAAAACAATACTTTTAAGTGAATCTTTTCAATTCTAATAATTGGACTGAAATTACTAGTTTAACTAGGATTGCTTTCATAGCAATGAAAGCCAGTTGAGTGGAGCAATCATGTTTAATGGTTTTTAATAAAGCAATAAATGAAAAATATTTATACATATAATACAAAATGCTAATATTCCCACACTCTGCACTTCTCGTTTTTACTACTTCATTCACCACTTGTTACGTAGTGGACCTGTTTTAGTTTGCCATATATGAGATGGATCCATGAATGTGATTCACCGTCGAATTGCTTGAAATAAAAATGTTAGCCTATTTGTTACGACCTTATTGAACTACGTAAATCAAATCTGTTAAATACTGTACGTAAGAAATCATGTTTTATCTATGACTGTACCTATATTCGATCAGTGGTCGTTTCCAAATCGGGACTTTGTAAACGTAAGACTTTCTCTGTGGCATTTGATCAGTTGTCATCATCCAATTTTTTTCCTTTGTACTTTGTTTAGGTCGTGGCTTTATTTTAACATATGCTATGTTTTTTTGTTTTTTTTTACATTTACGTCGTTATTTTGTAACCATCATGGCAACCCATAAGACCAATGTTAAAATTTAAAATAATTGAATTACTATCAAATTATATAGGCATTATTGAAAATTGAAATTGATTACGAAACCATCTAAACATTTGACAAAACAACCTTGGTAAATTTGGGTAAAATATGTTCAACCTTTATGGAGATTAGGTGTTATGAAGATCGCATTGAATTTGATCCCAAAAAACTTCGCTTCGCTCCGCTCAAAAAACTGACGTAGGTAAATAGTATTAACATTACTGTATCATACTAAGACTATAATTACGATGCTTGTTTCCCGTGTACATCAAATATACCTATTGTAGAAGTTATACCTTGAAAATGTGAGAATCTAATCAAAAGTTAACGTCAGCTGATGGTTTACACATGCGAAGTCATAAATGTATTTTGCCACACATAACCACACACGCAGATGTTTCATAAGAGTGAACTGAAGTCATATAACAATGTGCCGTCTCAAATACTCCAACGCCGTCTTTATTTCCAACTTGCAAACTTTCTTTGTGTTTCGCAAGTTTCGCAGGGAAGCTGCATAATCGAGTTTCTTCTCGGTATTTCGAATATCTTCAGGGAATTTAGTTTCTTATGTGAAATAAAGATTATTAATAGATAACTTGTACGGCATTCTAAATGCAATTAATTGTTTTATATCATGTTACCACATGATTTTATATATTTTAAATCGTATTCCCTCATTATTCATAGAGGAATGTCTAATTATTAACCTTACATTTTCTCAAAACTAAGACAAAAGTATCTAATAAACTTTATTTTAAATAGGAGTAATATTCAGTCTACTAATTTGTCAATAAGTTATTATTTTGTGTGTTATATCTTAATAACATCCAGTTCCATCTTCAAAATTCTTATTTGCGTTTGTTTTGTGTTTCAATTATTGACACATGTTGCCAGGTAAAAACAAAACAATTACGAGTCATAAACAAAAATAATCACCATAATTCATTTTAGATCTATTTTTCTATCAAACGAGATATTACGTTGTGTTTATAATATTGAAATTACTTAATGTACAATTTAAATACTCGTAGCTAATAAATTTTATTTATGCTAAAAACACAAATTTAACTAATCACACAGAGCAGACCAAATCTTCGTACATTGGTATGGCAGTTTTATGGAAGAAAAATGAGGATTAAAATGTTAACTCACCATAACAAAATGATTTGAGATGAATTACCTGAAACAGAAAAAAACACAGTTACATTTAATTTTGACTGAAAAAAACTCCATATTTTTTTTACTTTTAAAATAATTGCATGCTAACCAACGAATATAGTTCAAATGTGAGTACAAATTATTTAAACCAAATGTTTTAACCAATTTAATAATTTTTAATAGCAAGGTAAAAATGTCTTGTTTTTTTACACAATTATAGATACATATGATAATGTTATATGATGTGTTGTAATAGATGTTTATATTAATCAATCCAAATCAATAAAAAAGTTACACAGATTAAATTAGTAACCTCTTCATTCGATTCACAATACTAAGTCAAACCAAATTTACAAAGGATATTTTATTAGACATCAAGAGATTTCCGTTAACATCCTAACACCAGAAATGTAAATTTTTACAATTTGTAAGGTATGGTATTTAAGTTAAAAATACAGTAGGCCTATTTCGTTGTTTATATATTTTTTATTACCTACCATGAATATAGCCAATTATGTTATTTAAGTTGGATACAAATATTTTTAAAGTCAAAACATTATACAAAGGTGCAGCATGTGTTCATAAACGACCATACTCATCCAGGAAAGTTTACATGGAAAATTAACCGCGTTTGCATAATACATGCTGTTGACTTTCATTTCAAGCGGGCAGAAGATAACAGGCTCTTTGTGTCGTTTTACACACATTTTGTAGACACAAAATAACATATTAGTGTTGGCGCACAATGGAATACCTAACGATACCATAAATAACCTGCAAAATTCAATTACAATGATAAAAGTTTGTTTTGTTCCAAAAGATGCATTTATAAAGTACCCATGGTTAAGGGTATTTACGGTTCATGGATACATGGGTATACTATTACCATATTCTTAATTAGGTAGATTATTAATATACTTTACACATTGACATATATAGTGTAAACGATATCGGGTGGAATAACGCTGAACACAATATCATATCATACAAGAGAGCCATACTCACCTTTTAAGTACATTTCTACTTTGTATTGTTAATTTCTTGTATTTGCCTCTAACACTTATTGTACACAACAAGAAATGTACAGTCCAACTTTTTTCGGTTTCACCGAAAACAGGAATACTCTATGTACAATAATTTAAAATGTTATCTGCAATATTGATAATGACTTTCCCCATAACCTTGAGGAGGCTATGCTTTTACTGAACCAAAGTGTTAAAAAGTGTTATATATATATATATATATATATATATATATATCCTACATCTGGCTATGCTTTCAGAGGCTACAGGTTGGTTGGTTGGTAACATTGTTTTATTTTAACATTATTTAAAATAAGCGCATTAATATATTAGTTAACATCTCCTTTATGATTCCTTAATCACATGAATACTTAAATATTTGATAAAGAAAAGATACGATTGTAGTTTTCCATAGAACAAAAGTAAAGGATAAAGTTTTGAAACTATTCCCGTTATTAAGTATAGTACGCCTACTCAAAAAATCAAATCAAGTGTTTTTATTTAACAACAAAATGTTTAAAACGTTCGAAATCACGAGAGTAGCCCGGCTTACTTACAACTTTAGACTTATGAAAAGCGTCAAACTTTAATTGGACAGGTGAAATCTGCTTTCAAAACTAATAATGTTTGAATGTAATGGGAACATTGTGTTTATGAAACCCTTAAGTTTTATTATCATGATTCAATTATACATATTGTAAAGATTTTATGTTATACCTTACCAAATGTATTATCTTCATTACGCAACGCCTAGTTTTTGTTCCCAACAAAGAATATTATAGAATAAAGTTATAGGAAGCGATGTCAAATCATAC